ACAAAGTTAGGAATTCACATGATAGGAACACTATCGCTTACTCCTTCATAATGAGCTCTATGCAAAAACTAACAAGTCAGGTTTTCTACCATTCAGTGTAGTGTCTTCCTTCCATGAAAAACTACTTCTGTTCCATAGCAAAAAAATTGCAGAATAATTATAGATTTCTTAGTATGAACATGGGCTCCAGGAATCTTATGTGTTTTTTTCATCGCTTTCAACTAACTAGCGTACTAAGGGACACATTAAGGGTTTAGTTTGTGCCTTCATTTGGCAGGTGACGAAACTGAGGCCCAAAGAGGGAAGTGGTTTCTCACATGGAAGGTATGTTAGAAGCCATACTAGAGTTTGTAGTTCTTAGGTCTTCTGAGTCCTGTAGGCCAAACTGTCCTTAAACCTGAATAGGATTGTAATTAAGTTGCCAGCTGCAGCACAGGAAAAAGAAAAAGAGTATGTTGTGAAATCTCTTCTGATTAGAAAAAAATAATGATGAACTTAAAATGTGGTATCTGTGCCTGTCTGTATTCACATACAGAATTTTATTTCTCAAACCAAACGTTTTTCTATCTTACTGATTGTCTCATTTCACCTCTATAGAATTGACCACTCCAGAGGGCCTGTTCATCTTTGCAGCCCCATTGAGCTCACCGTGCACTGTCACATATATGGCACCAAGTGGCCAGGTTGGCCCACATCAGGGAAGCCCACTTAGGACTACTTGTATACCTGAGAAGGACCAGTTCATCCCAGGCTTTTGTTCAAAGTCTGTGATTTGTTCTTTCCTAGACTAACCCCATCCATTTTAATTTTGAAAACTTCTGATGGGATTCCTACAGGTAATATTCTAGGCTGGTTTGTCCAGGACCTGTCATATTTTGAAAACATTTGAGTTAACATTTGAACTCTTTGTTTTTAAACACACTACTGTTAAGAACCCCCCACTTAAAGTTTCGTCTGTTCTTCCCATTGCCTCTTCCCCCCTCATGTTCACAGGGTCCCATCTGGGGTCGTTTAACCCCCCCCCCCCACTTGTCAGGAGAATGCATGAGTGGTAATAGCTTCTCCAAGGAAGATCTGACCTGGAAACTGAGCGTGTCATGGGAAGGCATTAAATGCCTGGTCCTGTAATGTTACATCTTAGCCAATTCTAGGTGTAAGGATCTAAAATTTGACTCAGATATACCAAGTATTGCAGAATCACAGTTTGATCTGCTTAGATCTAATGTTAAATAAGATCCAGATTCTTCTCTAAGTGGGCTGCAAAGCTACTTTTGTTGAGCACCTGTTAGGTTTACCTGTAAGTTGTTTGAGTAAGCTGTGAGTTGTTTGAGCTATGTGTCTCTTGCCAGTAAGGGACTGTGCCCAACACTGCAGATGGCACACAGTAACAGACCCAGGAATGTGTTAAATGAAGGAGACTGGTGAAAACCAGGGCTTTTCAGAATGTCCTGTCCCTGCATCCACTGCCAGTGGAAGTGGTTTTGCATGGTCTAACACATCCAGCTTTATCTTGCAACTTGACCTTCTTTCAAAAATGAAGAAGAAAGCATTATTCATTTGAGATTTGCCTAGCAGTGTTAGACACAAATCTGGTTTCTAAGGAAAAGTTGGCAAAGAATTGGCAGAGGAAAGTTACTCTTAGTTTTATGGGGGGGAATCACCGACTAAGCAAGATTTTTGTGTGGTTACTGTAGTCATGAAAATAACCACTGAACAACATTCCTAGTGGCAGAAAATATCAAAGTATAAAGCAGTTTGATAAATGCCAGGGCTGTGCTGACAAGCATAGAATGCCAGGCAGACCAGCACTCTCCTTACCAACCTGAATGATTAGTTGTCTTACTCAGTAAAACCCATGTTTTTTCCTTGCTTTTGTTTGTTTTTATCTAAAAGCTGAATATAAATTTGGTAACTGATGATTTGTGGTCATCATTTGTGGCTACAAAAGGTGATGTTCCTGCTCACTTTATTTTTTTAATATATCCTTTACATCAGCCTTCATTTTGTACAATGTACGGCTTCCCCGTGGAATTCCCGCCACCATCTCATCTGAGCACCATCACTGTATAGTCCCTTGTGCTCTTCCCACCCCTGTCCTGGTCCTTCTGCCTCCTCCTCCCTTACAGAATGTCTCTGATCTATAGTTGCCTAATGATTTTGTTTACTTTATTATAGTTACATTTTTTGTTTTTCTGCTTCTTTCTTTCTTTCTTTTTTTTTTTTTTGTTTCGTTTTCTCTATATTCCTTCTATAAGTGAGACCATTCAATATTTTTCTTTATCTTTCTGGCTTATTTCGCTGTCCTGCTCACTTTAAAATCAATTTGGAATCAGAGATAAGACTTGGAGATCTGTGTCACACCTTAAGTGCTTGGCAAAAAGAGAGGCAAGCAGAAAGGGCAGGGAGCCTGGAGGAAGGGAGGAGAAACAGCGAGCCCACCCCACCCCCCACCCCCCTGCCCCATGGGCCCTGGAGAGTCCCCAGGTGCTGCCGGCACTGCTAGCAACCTGTGACACCATCAGCTTCTAGCCCTTGGGTATGAAATGAGGTAATACCTACTTTGTAAAATTTTTGAGAGGCTTAAGTGAGGCACTACATTAAGTGTCTGACGCAGACTCAAATGTTAGATTAAAAAAATCAAATGACCATGAATTCCAGTGATTCTCTTTGAGAAAGCACTTGTCCTTTATCTCCCTGGACTCTAGCATGCTCCCACCAGTTAATATGATTTCTCAGTGCTCTAGAGCTCATCCTCTTACATTCCTCAGAACAGGCAGTTACAGACCATGGCCACCTCCTGGACTCCCCTAGTGCTGGTCGAAATTGAAGAGTTGCTGTGCCCAAACTGCCCGCAGGCCAGGGTTTCCCCCAGCACCAGGGTCTTAACTTCAGTCATCTCTGCCACCTGACTCCTGGTTTCTTGTCAGCAGCAGACCAGGTTCTCCTTTCCTTTGTGCACATGTGTTTTCTTCTCAAAGGGGAGAGAACAGACTCTCTGGTGACCAGGGCCTCCCTTAGCCAGTCTTCCAAGGGATTTCCCTTGAGGTAGCAGAGAGAAGACCTGGCCCAGCAGGGAAGGGACAGTCCAGCCTGTGGGCTCGCAGCTGCCCATTAATCTGTCAGGCCAGACATTCCTGTTTCTTAATACCTCATGGGTATCGTTTGTCTGCAAACCAAGAAACTAATTCTCCCCCTTTTACAGATGTCACTATTTCACCCCAAAAGATTAATTTCCCTCAGAATGAGAGTATATTTTCTACATAGTTTTGCCTTGAGGTAAAATAATAATAAAATTACAAAGATATTTGGTTCAGTTAATGAGTAATCTCAAAGCCTGGGAAGAAGAGGTGGGTGTTCCTGAAGCAGCCAGCATTCACAGACAGTTTTGGGAGGATCTGCTTCAGAAGTTCTGCCATTAGCCCCCACTCTCGCTCCCACTCCCAGTCACCTTCAGTTCTCTGCACTGAACACAGGCAAGAGGAGCTCTAGCTTCTCACACCTGCAGTGGTTCACTGTGGGCACTGGCCATATGCCTGGCTGATTTCTCAGGGCCGTGTATCTTCTATCACTTAATCTTCAGGATCACTAAATTATAAGGTGGATACTGTTTCTAATCTCTTTACAAAGAAAGAAACCAAGGCTTAGAGAAGTTAAATAATTTTCCAGGTGAAACAATTGGTAAGTAATAGAATCAGTAAAAAATAGAGGTTTTGAAATCTTTTTTCTCAATTAGGACTCTATAGTGCCTGAAGAGTTGTTTGTCCTACTTGAAAATCTCAACAAAGGACCCAAGAAGTGAAATAAAAATTTGGAATCTCTCTTATTCAAGTTTTAAAAATATTTACTGTTTAGTAGGGTTCCAGGTGCAAGTGGCATTTTTTTAAAATCTCAACCAATGTGCAGCTGCCAATGACATGGTGAAGGCTAGATTCACCCATTAGCAGTAAATTCCATGTAGTATTTACACATGTCGACTCTCAGGGATGAGCTCCTGAAGCTTACATAATGTTACTTCAGTTTTAAAACAGGGTAAACTACCTCTATGAGCCATATGCTACCTCAGCATTTTCCATAATTTGCCCTCTGCCACTAGCAGGGTAGCCGTGGTGCTACCTGGAGGCAGGCACTCGGGAGGCAGTCTCTGACGTGGCATTCGGTACCTGGGTTTGTTATGGGGACCCTGGCTGAAGAGTGGACACAGGAGGAGCTGACCCATAATGTGGTGGAGCATGGTGTCTTGGCCAAGAGAGCCTCTACCCACTCCGATTCCCAGCCAATGGATGGGGGCCACCTAGGGATGGTGCCAGCTGAGGCAGCCTCTAAAGCTGACAGCATTCCTGCCACTGGCAGTGTGTTCTTTATTGGAAGAGGCCTTCCAGGTTCTGCTTCTCTCTTTCCATTTGACACTTTCTATTTCCTTGTAAATGTGAGTCCATACAACAGTAGATGCGGTTTCTCTAGACTCAGCCTGTGCTCAGCTTGGACTCTCAATAATGAGGACTGAGGCACAGATGAAGACAGATTGTCAGCTACTTGGAGGCACAACAAAGGTGTAACCTCTGTAGTCTTTTTGGGTTCTGTGGTTAGAGTCATACCTGGCATTTTTAGAATATACGAAGAATTCATTTCAAGTGAAGCTAGTTGATTTTTTTTTTTTCTTGGAGGCCAGAGGCCAGAGGCCAGAAAAGCCATTATGAAGTGATGAGGAAATCCTCTAATCCTCTAATCACTTCCCAGTTGTCTTTGGTAAAATCTTTCCATGGTTAAGATTCTAGATTTAAACAAAGCAGCCTTCTAGCTCAATTCAACATAGACATTATAGGACACCCCAAGTGACTTACATCTTGTCCACATAGATATGTTGACCACAGGAGCTGTTCCTGAGTTTGCGTGGCAGGATCCTTAATTGCTGCAGCCCACTGTCACCCAGAGCTGGCTTTGATGGCTGAACATCTCAACTGCACTGTGTGCACACCTTTCCTCCATTTCCTTTCTTTCAGGTTGGAAAGCTTATCCAAGAAGCAGCTGGAAGAAGCAACTTGAAGAGAGTAACTCTGGAACTTGGAGGGAAAAGTCCCAATATTATTTTTGCAGATGCTGATTGTAAGTAGACCCCAGAGCTCATCCATGTCCACCATACTGCCCTTTGGTGCTCTCTTTTCATGGGACACCAAGAAAAACGATTTTTGAAGCTAAAGATCATTTAAGGACAAAAACCCGAAGCCTTTATTCTAAAGAAAAAAAAATAGCTTAATTTTGGAAAACAGCACTTAGCAGTTGACAACTAAACAGTTTGTTTTCTAGATACCAGTGAGTCATTTTGATTCAGAATGTAGAACAGGGTAAAAGATGAGAAGGCTTGGTCTATGCTATATAGCAGGAAGAGAAGTGAACCAAACCTCTGCAGATTGTTTTTTAAACTTCTGTTTTATTAGCCCAGTCAACATTTTCCCAGGTGCACATACCTTTTTGGTCATGCCAGCCTGTTTCTGTTGCTTCCCTGACTCCCTGAGGATGACCATACACTGTGGGTAGTTCTGTGTGAAGAGACTTGCATCAGAGCTAGTTATGCCTCCTGGAGCTTCACAAAGAGTTGGAGCAGTGACCTAGGGAATCCCATGTCTCCAGGCAGGATGCCATTCCCGTATTCAATAGAGGTGTGGTCTTTGTATTTTGAAAGCTTTCCAGGGAATGAAATCCCAAAATCTCTTTCAAACATCCTTTTTCTTCTTCACATCCTGTGAAGCTGAGCTGCTTTTCCAATTTCACCTCTGGAGAGATCAGAAAATAGGTTACCTGAGTTTCGGCTTCACCTTGGAATTTGCAGAGTTCAGCTTCAGCTTTATCTTAGTTGTCAAGAGAATCAGCTTTCTTCTATATGAATTCCTCTTGAAGAGTAGGCATACCACTGTCCAGACATTCAGCCAGTCATTTAGCAACTAGCATGTACTGGATTTATTAGTACTATTTCAAAAGGTTTATAAGAGAAAAATGAAAGTACTATATGCTGTTATGCAGCTCCATGTAAATATAAAGGAAATGTTGTGTTTTCAGATATGATCCATGGCTAGGATACTTTAATTCACCAAAATACTAACTAAACATGCAGCTATGAGGTCTTATAGGCCCAGGCCCAAGATACAGACTGTAACTCACTGGCCAAATTTAGATTACCTGTCTAAATATTACACTGTACTTTAGAAAAACAAAAACTGCACATTAAAAACACTGATTTTTTTTTTAACTTGGAAATATAGCAACCATTGGCTTAGTGTTTACATCACTAACAGCCAAACATAGTGGCAGCTTTCTAAGTCTCACCACATCCCTTTACTGCCTAGTCCACAACATTACATTATCTCCAGCCCCTTCGCACATTGGGGTTTGAGACTTCTGTTTTGGGTGACATGGGTCCAGTCAGTCCTTTTACAGAAGAAAGAGATGCCAAGTGAAATAGTCCAAATTCGCCTCAGGAACTACTCTAGTCAGAACTAGAACTAAGGGTCTAGGGATAGTCAGAACTAGAACTGAGTTGCATTATCACCTTAGTGCTTTCCACTAAGCTGCTCACTGTTACACTCTGTGGTAAGTGTGGAGAGGGGAGGTCCTCTGTGGACAGGCTGCTCTGCAGGTCAGCAGCGTTGAGAACGTGACTGCTTCCTCTTGCAGTGGACTACGCTGTGGAGCAGGCTCACCAGGGCGTGTTCTTCAATCAAGGCCAGTGCTGCACCGCGGGCTCTCGCATCTTTGTAGAGGAGTCCATCTATGAGGAGTTCGTGAGACGGAGTGTGGAGCGGGCCAAAAGACGCATAGTGGGAAGCCCTTTTGACCCGACCACTGAGCAGGGACCCCAGGTAGGGAAATCATAGTCATTCTTTTCTTCACTTAATCCTGGCAAGCGTAATAGCATCTTTGTTTTTCTTCCACCTCCTACTCTTTTACTCTACTAGAAATGCAGACAGGCACTGCTTACTTTTTATGCTCCTCTTTCCCTTTCTAACTTTTATCTCTGAAAAAAATGAAGGATTGTGGTTGCCTTAAGGCTGTGTTGAAACTTGGAGGTAAGTGGGAGTTTCTCAGCTCTTAGGAAATACGTGGTAATAACAAGATGTCTTGACACTTGAGCCTGGCCCCCATTCTAATAACCAGTAGACTTAAAGACCATAGTCGAGGAGGGTGGGTGTCTGCTTCCCAGACATCATTTATCTTGAAGATGCCTTCACCAGCTACCTATCTGAGATCTCCTATTACTGATCTCCTATTACTTGTGTCTCATCAATAGGAAATAAAGGGCTCGCTGCTTTCCCCTCTGCATGTGGTTCTCTCTCACTCTGAATGTTTTCCTGCACTGTGGAGAGCTAGTCAGGGCCACAGAAGCCCCTGCAGACCACGATGTCCAGCTCTTCGGTTCTCCACAGCCATCGAGGCCCATTTCCAAACACAATTCTGGTTTTGATCTGTGGATAGTCTGAGAATTTTTAAAGGAATATCAGAACCAGATCCCATCTGGAACATAGTGTGTGGGTTTTTCTGAAAAGAAACAACAGCTATGTTTTAGGACCAGCTGAGAGAAGATAGTTCAAATTCAGGTTATTATATTGTTTACCATAATGTTTTTAATATTTTTATAATTTTTCAATTGTAGTAACTTCAAACTTAACCAAAAAATTGCAAGAATAATAAATGAGCTTCCTCTGTATCTCCTACCAGGATTCCCCAATTTTTTTTTTTAAAGATTTATTTATTTGTACATACAGAGCTGGGGTACAGGCCAGAGGCTCAGGAGCGGTGAGAGGCTTCACTAGAGACAGAGTGGGGAACAGAACAGGCAGATCGACTGCTGAGAGGAGCAGTGGGCGGGTCAGGAGAGGTCTGCCGCACCATGTGGTCACCTCCGGGGCAGGTGGGAATCGAACTCATGTGGAAGTGGCTTTAGCTTCTCAGTGTAGTGCTTTAACCCGCTGCGCCACCAGGGAGGGCCAAGATTCCCAAATTTTTAACATTTTACCACATTTGCTTAATCTGTACATAATTGCATTACTTTTTCTAAACCATTTGAAGTGTTATTCTTTCATACTTCCCTTTAACTTCTTGTTACTTCCTAAGTATTTACTAAGAATAAAGATTTTTTTTTACATAGTCCAGTCATCAAATTTAGGAAACATAGCATAATTTAGGAAACATAACTTTTTTCACATAATCTAGTCATCAAATTTAGGAAACATAACATAAACATAACTGTAACTTCTGGAAGGCAAGACTAACCTTGTTTTATGGACTAAAAAACTTGCCCTCACTCATTAAACTTAATCCTTTCCTTTAAAGGTATAATAGGAGTTTCATTAAAAATGTACACAGTAGATTTGATATGTAGCACCATGTAGTTTATCCACTATTTTCATCATTTTTAGTATCAGTACAAATTTTAAACTAGTCATTTGGTTGTAGAGGCCAATTTGTCCCCTGATAAGTGACGAGTAATCAATTAGCCAGTGGATCCATCATCTAGAAGCATTGCCTAAATCTTCAACTGGCACTTTTGCTTCAGCAGTATCTTCAGAGTAAGACGTTTATTGAGTTCTTGATATATTAGTTTGAATCATAGAAAATCAAGATTTTTCATGTGTCAGTAATGGTTAACAGCAATTCCAGATGATATGAAAAAAATCAAATGAAAGATTCTTGAGGACATGCTTATTTCCGTTTTCATAGAAGGTTTTACAATGAAGTCATAAGGTAATTTCTTCTATAGATTGATAAGAAACAGTACAACAAGATCCTGGAGCTCATCCAGAGTGGAGTGGCTGAAGGCGCCACGCTGGAATGTGGAGGAAAAGGACTGGGCCGAAAGGGGTTTTTCATCGAGCCCACAGTGTTTTCCAACGTCACTGATGACATGCGGATTGCCAAGGAGGAGGTATCCAGCTTGGAGTTCTAACAAGAGCCACATCTTTGGGATGGTTTCCAGGGCACTCCAAGTAGATGATTAGAGTTTTAGTTCTTTATATTTTATATACACTGCAAGTGCAGTAAACATGGCTGTGAAAATCCTATGTTAACCAAAAAGGCAAACAAGTAGATAAAGTCCAGGTGACATGACTGCGTTTATTATTAGCTTACGGCACAATTGTAATAGCCAATGATTGGCCTCAAGAATACACTAGAGCTCAGTTTCCCCAGTAGTCCAATTTTCTGGGCCATTGTCAAGAAAGAGATGGCATCCAGACATCTTCATGTTTGTGCGAGACCCGATGCAGGTGAACCCACAATCCAGAGCAGTAGTTCTCCATGCTGGAGTAATGTTTAGGCTCATGGAGAAAGCTGCATTAGTCACACAGTGAAGTCAAGTGATGAGAGAGAGGTGGGGGAGAGGGGTGTTCAGTCCTAAGGGTAGACTCTCATGTAATATGGGAAAGTGGGATATTTAGTTTTGTGCCATTAAACTTAAATGTCATTTAAATAAGAAGGCAGAATAAACTGACTTTGAAATGTGGAGAGCAGGTACAGGATGACAGTGACCATGTTGGGTGGAACTGTTTTGTTACAGATCTTTGGCCCTGTTCAGGAAATTCTGAGGTTTAAGACCATGGATGAAGTTATTGAGAGGGCCAATAATTCAGAGTTTGGACTCGTAGCAGCGGTCTTTACCAATGACATCAACAAGGCCCTCACAGTATCTTCTGCAATGCAAGCTGGGACTGTTTGGTAAGATCAGTTGGTCGCATTGTTCTGGCCATAACACATTCCAGTGGTGGTGGAGGGGCCCTGTAATTCTCCTGAGTCTGGATAAGAGAAACATATATCCTCTGAAGGGATGGAGAAGGCCAAAGACACCCAGCCTTCACCCTGAGAAGGGATTTCCTGGCAAAATCAGGAAATCAAAGTAAACCTTCAATTATATATGTTTCGTCTGGGAGAAGAGCATTAAAAAATAAAATAGTAAAAGAAATACACCAGTGGGATTATTTCTTTGCAAGCAGAGATCACACTAACAATTCCTTGTTCCCTTCTTTCAGGATCAATTGTTACAATGCCCTGAATGCTCAGAGCCCCTTTGGGGGATTCAAGATGTCTGGAAACGGGAGAGAAATGTGAGTGTTCTAAGGTGCTGGTGTCGCTGGAGACACCAGCATAGGGGTTGCGCCTATCTGCATAAAGGAGCACTCACACGATTACTTCTCTTACTCTCATCCATTCATTAGACACGTTGCTGAGCACCTGTATACTGTTACAAAGCTGACTAAAGCTCAGTTCTCTCACTTCAAATGGGAATAGAGAAAATTTAATATACCCATAATTCCATATAATAATGGGCCATTATAGAAGTATGCCAGACAGGCAGAGAAAAAAGATCAATTACCTTTGCTTAACAAGACCAGAGAAGACTTCACAGAGGAAATAACATTTCAATTTTTATAAGCAGGCATTCCACGCAGAAGGAATAGCAGGAGCAAAGGTGTGAAGTCACAGCAAATATGCACTGGCCAAGAACAAAATGGAGGGTGGTGTGTTCAAAACAACGGGCTCTAACTGCAGGCCCAACGTCCAAATGTGGCTGTGGGAATGTTTGGCTTCACATTTAAAATTTGTTAATGGTCATTTGCAAATGAGGGTTTACATAAAATCTAGAAAGTTCAGTTTCTTTCTTGCATAGCAAAATTGCTACTGTTCTGAGTTTGCCCTGTCCCCACCACTACTGATGCTTCTGGGGCTGAATATTAGTGATTACCTGTCTTGCGCACATCCAGGTGACTGTTTCCTTCACCTGCTCAGCTGTGTTTGGTTCTTTTTCACTCTGGGACTGAATAATGGGGACCTACTGAAAATAAAAAGATTGATTTAAACTCATTGTTCAAGCTTTTAAAGGCCAGTGGGTGGAAGCAGAGGAGATGCCAGTGTTTTTTAAAGATCCCTGGCATATAGAGGGTGTCTTGGCATATAGAGAAAGACGACCTGTTGGAAGGATTTTACAGAAACATTAGTAGATACCATTAATTAAAGATCTCTTCCTTCTCATTTGACCTTCACAATGACTAAATGAGATGGATACACTTACCTTGATGTTTCAGATGAGGAACTGGTGTTTAGAACGGTTAAGTAACTTCCTAAGTCACTGGCCAGCCAGTAAGTGGCCTACATAACAGTAGCTCTGAATGCTTCTAGTGCTAGTGACACTCAGGCAAGGAAGTATAGTGAACAGGCACAAGAACCCCCCCCCCCCCCCAGGGATGAATCAGAGTTGGACTAAATCCTCCTGGGATGTGAAGGACCTGAGAAGTGTGACTGTAACAGAGGAAAACTAGACTTGAGAGGGATTTAATTTGCAGCTTTAATATATACAAATGTATTTGAGACATTCAGAAGATGATTGGTAGCCTACGTTTTCCATCCCAAGTTCCCATCCCCCATTTTCTCTCATTTTGAAAGGAGCTGGAGCCCTGTTTTCTAAATTCTATGATCCAAAAGTAGAAACATCTCCCATGCCCAGTGCCTCTGCTATTTCCAAAAGCATTCTTTTTTTGATCACAATCAAACTATAAACAAATATTGAGCATATACTTCGTGCAAAATACTGGTCTTAGGATGTGTGTAGGAATATTCAAATCACTAAGACACTTAAAGTTTTGTTAGATAAATGAAATTTACACCATTGAAAGAATCGGAAGAATTCCAGAAAAGACTGTGAAGTGAAGGAGGAATTCAGGAATGGGGAGATCATTGTGAGCTTAGAAAGCCCTGGAAACCTCTAGTTATGATCTAAAATAGAGGTTTAAATTGGCTTTTAAAGGAGAGGAATGTTTGGGATAGATGGCAAGAAATGGTTATGTTTTTCTGGGGTTGGTGGGCAAAACAAGAGAGTGGTGGGGGAAGAGTGAGTAAAGGCATTGTGGGAGGAATAAACATGCTACTTGAGGGAAATGCAGGGACACACAAGACTAGCCCAGAAGATTTGCATTCTTCAGATACTTTCACTGGTAATTTCTAGCCCATAGTCTTTTAACCCTAAAGTAGGTATAACCTTGAGACTAAGAACAGAATTTCTGGAATCACTCTTGTCAGCTCTGTACTTGTATTCTGCCACTTAACAGCTAGGCAGACTTGGACAAATTACTTAATGTCATTAAGCCTCAGTTTCCTCATCTATAAAATGGGAATTAGTAGTATAATGCCTCCCCTGCAAAGGGTTCTTGTGAGGATGCTAGGATTAAGCAAGCCAAACATCCAGCAGACTGTCTGGAAAACTTTCAGAAAATGTTAGCTGCTTCATCATCATTGATCAAGTAAATGAGTGTTATGTTTGTGATCCTTTTCTCTCTCTCTTTTTTTTTTTTTAATAAAAACAGATGTATTTTGGAAGTAAGCCAGAATTCTTCCTAAATTCCAGTTAGTATCACTAGCTTATGCTCTGTGTCTGGTGATGCCCAGGAGAATCCACTTGTTTTTGAAGCTGTGTGTCTTTTCTCACTTGCTTTATAGCCAGAACACATAACCAATCTGGATCCTGTTTCCTCAGTTATTAGTATTCCTTCAGCTGTTATGAAGTCTTATGCACTCCGAGTACCCCTTCTTAACTTGCATATGGCCTTGACTTTCTGCTCCCACTTTTCAAGATACATTCGACTTGTTATTTCATTTCCTGTCTCTGTGTTCATGCTTGCTTGGTCTCTGAGATGTTGGGAATGCTGCTCACATTGACTCTTGTTACAGATCATTAACAGAGTGACTCATCAGCATAAAATATGCTAATAAATAATTGCTGCTGGATGGCTTCTAATCCCTGGCCAACAACCCTGACCATCCATTAGGGCCAGCCCTCCTGCTGGGGATCCAGCTGTTGATATTGCCCAGGTCCAATCTGTTCCTATCAGAAATGTTCCCCTTGCCTAGAAAGCTGGTCCAGGAGACAGACTGTCTGAACCTCACAGAAGGGTGGCCTAAGTCTGAAGAACAGTGTCTTGTCACTTGTAGGTGCTTTGGCCTTCCGTGCTGCTGAAAAATAATTAGGAAACAGTGCCTTTGATGGGACTCACTTCATCTTGTCTAAATTATACGGATCTTTGTCCTGAGTTGCCCCTAAAACATGTTTTCTCTCCCTTAAATGTTCTTGAGTGGTAGGAAATGATGCAAATAAAAGGACCTGTTGTGATGCCCTGCTTTTTTTTTTCTTTTTCCCCTCAATGTAATACAGTCGCACAATCCCACTTAATCCTTCATCTGGACAGAATTATTTATCTCATTACCTACAAACTCCATGCAGCTTTGGTCTCTTACACCTCCTGCCCCCTTCTAAGAGGAGCAGAGAAGTGAAGTAGCTGGAAATGAGCTCTTGGGGCTCTCCCACAGTCTCCCCCACAGCGAGCCTTGGAGAGGGCTGCCCTCTACAGGTACCTGCTGGGCTCGCTGCTCACTTCTGGGTCAGAGACCAGAGCTTCTCTCTGTTCTGCCTGTCTGGGTGTTTCACTCTTCCTGTCCTCTTCCTCATCTTCATTTAAGGTCCCCCTGGAACAAAGGAACCCAAGCTAGAAATACGTAACAAATAGAGGGGATGAAAGAAAGCTGTAGACCTCAGCTGAAGGACAAGTCCTGAAGAATATGGACTGTGAAGATGAGCATTATTACAATATTCTTATGGAGGGCTCTCATGTTTATGTGTGCATGTGTGCATGTATTTACCTGCACAGCACACATGTGCACAGAGGCTACCTCAGCCAAGGAAAGGGAAGAGCTTGTTTGGCAGGCTTATCTGGGGACCTGTACAGAGATTCTAACTCAGTGGATCTGGGTGAGGACCCAGGATCTATACCTTTAACAAGCTTCTGGAATGATTCTGATGCAGGTGGGCTGGAATCTTATTTTGAGAAAATGCTGCTTTAAGCCAAAGGAAAAGGGCAGGAAAATACACATCCTAAACAGGAATCATATGTTATGGGTGAGCCTCAGTGATTGCCTAAAACAACTGGCTGAGAAACACCAAATTCTCATGTTTTACCTTACTTATAGGTATATCAGGTTGTATCATCTTAAGAAATATAACCTAGTGTGGCTTCTAATACAGGCATCTAAATGTGCCAGCACTCTGACACATTGCCCAGCTATGAAGGATGGGGTGTGTCAGTAGTGATAGGTCTGCCTCGAGGCATGAATTTCTTTATCTCTGGAACTATAGAATTTAAATGGGATAAGTAGATTTGTGAGAAAGACCCTAGAATGAGAAGGTGAAATAATTAAATAATTCAAACTTGTGGGCTTTCAGGGAACTTACAGCAGTGTTTCTCAAAGGGTAGGCCAGAAGGCTTCCTGTCTCTGTGTGTCTTGGGTGCCTCCGCAACCCTACTGAAATGGAGTCTTTGGTGGGGGACTGTTAGGTATCTGTAGTTTGAGCAAACTCCCCTGGTCATACTTAGGTGTGTGGAGGCTCTGGCCCTGCTGCCTGAGAGATGACTGGGCACCAAGACAACGGGGGTGATTAGCTTCAGTCAGCATCCCCCACCCCACACCATCCCCACCCCCGCAGAGCCCAGATGGCACTTCTGCCTGCTGACCTCAGCACTGTTGTTTCTCTGCTTGGAGCAGGGCCCTCATACATCTCACTTTCCTTCTCTGGGCTCAAGGTAGCATGTTTTATGGTAGATTTGCATTCTGTGTCTTGGTTGTGTACAGGTTGTGTGTGAACTCTGGCAGCACACAGTGGCCTGGGGTCTGGGAGAAGAGTCCCTCAGGTCCTGCAGAATTATCTCCTGCATCTTGTACCCAAAGATGATGGGCTCCAACAGTCAGACTTGAAAGCTTTCTGAGTCTGTAGACTTACATTTCTCACAACCTAGTTAGGATCTGAGTGGGAGAAAAGTGGTTCAAGGTCTGCCCCAAGTGCGTGCACAAGCCAGGAAACAAGAAGGGAGGAGCCTTACTTCAAACAGGAGGCATATGAGGTCTGTGATGAAGAGACATTCGGAATTGCCCAAGGGCAGGAAATAGGCCAGAGAGAGCCAACGCTGAGCTGGTAATGAAGAGACAGAGAGCCTGAACGGAGCTAATGAGGGAACCAAACACGGAGTGGGACAGGCCCAAGCCTATTCCTCTCACTCTTGTAAGCACAGCAGCCAGTGCACATGAGAGAATGACCTGCTGCCTCTGCCTCTGTCCGCTGATGTCCCTGTGGAGTGGAAAGGATATCAGGGGTCTTTAAGGTTAAGATGACCTGCTGGCAAAATGATGAGCTTGGTGTAGTGCTGTGAGAATTCCTGGAAGGACACAGAATAACTCCTGTATAGCAGGTCTCCACTGTAAACCCAAGCACAGCAACTTTGTATCTTTTATACATGACTTTTATAAGAAATTTGTAATCCATATTTAAGTGTATCTCCATTTTCTGGAAGAGATGGTCTGGCAACAGGGTAGAGTGGCTGGAGGTGTGGTTATGGAAGGGACTACCCCGTCCATAGCCCCATGTACCTGTTTGAAGCTGACATTGTGGGTTACACATTAGGTTTGGGGGGGCGGGGAGCAGAAAGCAAGATTAGCAAGACACCATTCCCTCAGTGGCAGGGGTGTGTTCCAGGAGTCCTGTGTTGGGCGTGGGGGCAGAGCCTTCTGCCAGGTGTCACGAAAAGCTTCACAGAGGCATGGCTTTAAAAATAACAGCAAGAAAAAAACTTAAATATTTTAAAGAAAATAACTCAGGATATATGCTTGATTTTACAATGAAACAGAGAAAGGGGAGGAAGACAATTAAAAGGTTAAAAATGAGAAGTAACTAGAGAAGAACAGTGAGACAAGGAGGCGTGGTCCCACACCCTGCCACCCTGAGAGTGGGGGCGGCAAACCTCTCAGTGCCCAGTGGGCTGGGAAAGGCTGCCCTCTCCTGTCACACCTGAAGAGGTGACCCAGCTTCGGCCCACTCCTCTCCACTGCCTGTAAGCACTTCCAATTATTTATTTTCTCCATTCCATCCAGCACAGTGCTTCCCCAGAGGATAGCTCAAAAATGTTGGATTATCAAATGAATGACAATCCTTGATCCATGGCCAATATCCCAGAGTGCTTTGAGCCAGGAGGGAGTTGGCAAAAGGACAGTCTTGGGGACAGTTTACTACCACTTCCCACTTCTTTGTTAATTGGTTGTTTTTAATTTCCTAACTCTTTCCCCTGACTCTGGGAACTCAGGATTGTGTTCTTAAGACTTCTTAGGTGACCTATGTTTTTCTGTGATAAGCCTTTGGATATCCATTTATACCAAACTGAGAGAACCCTAGCCTGGAAACCTCACGGTTTTCCTTCAATTAAAGTAGACTAGAGAGCTAGTGGAGTGACGAGAACACAGACACACCAGGAGTGTCCAGTAACGGTTTTATTTGTTTTCATTTTGATTAAGGTAACATTGGTTCACAACACTAATGTTTTATAGTCCACACTTCTTCAAATGTATGTTACCACATCACACCCACTACCAGAGCACTCACAACTTTCCACCATAGTCCATTGTGCTCCCAACCCAGTCTGCTGTTTGCTTTGTTATTTTTATATTCCACATATGAGTGAAATCATTGGTATTTGTTTTTCTTCTTCTGACTTACTTTGCTTAGATAATGCCCTCCAGATCCATCCATGTTGTCACAAATGGCCAGAATTTATCATTTTTTTTGTTTGTTTTTAGCTGAGTAGTATTCCATTGTGTCTATACAGCACCTCTTAATCCACTCACCTGTCATTGGTCATTTAGGGTGTTTCCAGTAGCTTGGCTATTGTAAGCTCATGGTGCTGTAATGAACACAGGCTTGTATAGTTCCCTTCAAGTAGGTGCTCTTTGCATTCTTTGAGTAGAACTTGGAATGGGGTTGCTGGAGCTTATGGTGGATTTTTTTTTTTAATGATAGTTTATTTTTTACATCATTTTGAGCCTTTTTTCATCTCAGTTGTAATTCCTGTGGACTTCCATCACCAAATCACCCATGTGCCATCAATGGTGGATCTATTTTAATATTATTTTCCATGGAGGCTAGATTAGTCTACATTTCCACCAACGGTGTACAAAGTTTCTTTGTATAGCACACTCACCAATACCTGTTGTTTCTGGTCTTTTTGAGCAAGACCATTCTAACAGGTGGGAGATGGTATCTCATTGTAGTTTTGACTTCATTTCCCTGATGATGAGTGATGATGAGCATTTATTTCATGTGTCTTTTGGCCATGTTTGTGTCTCCTTTGAAAAAGTATTTAGTTAGCTCTTCTGCCCATTGTTTGGTTGGGTTGTCTTCTTGGTTTTGATTTGTATGAGTTCTGTGTAGATCTTGGGTATTAGTCTTTTGTTAAGTGTATGGTGCACACACACAAATACTTTCCCCCATTTGGCTATAATAGTGTAAGAACAGAGTCTTAGGAGAGAAAGATACACCTTTGCCCTGAAGAGCAAGGGCCACCTGGGGTAGAAATTCAGCTCAGACATTAGAGACCTGGGACGGGGGTCTACCACTGTCCACAGTGCTCAGTCAGAGGCACAGCCAGGCTGTCTGCATGACAGCTGGCCGAGAGTAACCCCCAGGCTTGCGGGGAATTGCTGCCTCTCTGTGCTAAAATGTGAAGACAAATCATCCTTTGAAAAACATTTACTACTCATGAGGTGACAGCTTCTCTGCCCCACAAAGGCAAACTGGAATTTTTCATTAGGAATTTTTTCATGAAAGTCCAGGATCTGGTGTTAGGAGGTGATAAGCTGCACCTTCCCAAGACTCTGACCATCCGAAGCCATCCATTGGGGCCTCTCGTTTCTGATGCTACCTGTTTCTGTTTTCAGGGGAGAATTCGGTTTGCGAGAGTACTCCGAAGTCAAGACTGTGACAGTAAAGATCCCCCAGAAGAACTCTTAAGAAGACCAAGAAGGATGGTGAAAGCCAGCCTACACGACTTTCCCTGTGGAGCCCAGCTCTCAGGAATCCAAAGTCGATACTTGGTTCTTATTTAAAACTTTAAATGATAATATGTAGGCCATGCCGGTCACTGCATTACTAAAGCAAACCAGCTGGACAGGGTTTCTTGGCACTCTGTTTGGGATCACTTTAAAGATACCAAATATTAGGGAAAGTGGGGTGAAGGAAAGAGGAGTCGCTCTCCGGCACATCCTGTGTCTGGACCGAGGGGTTGAATAAGGGAGCTCTATTATTTGATGCCTTTTGCCACAAAGAACTTTCCTCTTGAGGAAAAGTAGCCTTTCCATTGTCTTCATCTTCCCCCTTCCCAGCTCTCCATGCTCACCCACCCCTCCTGCTCCTCCAAGAAGATCTAGCTAAACTCATTTGGGGCAGATGTTTGGGCCGGGAACAATTTTCCAAGGTTTTGCAGCCAAATTACCGTTTCATGTTATCCATTTCTTCAAAGCAAAACATGAAATGGTTTTAGTTAGAGCCAGACCAGACTGAAAATGCCAGGAGCTGGTACACTGCAGATGTACTAAGAAGTAAGAACTTGGGATATTCCTGACCCAATCTAGTTTTCTTACATCCATCAGTGAGTGAAAGACCAGGAAAATGGAGATCATCATGTGTAGGTTGTAGCGTCAGAAATTGTTGCATGGTTTTGGGAGGTGGGTGGATGTGTGTGTATGTATACGTGCACATTTAATTTTTCTTGGTTATTCTGGAATAAAGCAGGGAATGGATTGTTTTTCATATATTGATAAGATCTTCTCCAAAGTTTATCTTTAAGAGCAACCAAAAAACAATCTAAGTAGCCTCAAGAATTTGGAAAAAGTAATGTTGGGTGCCTTCCAGAAATAATTCCTGACAATTTTTATTACGTGAATTATCTTTATAACTTTTTCTGTTCCCTAGCAACACCTGCTACGTCCAGTGTTTTGGGGGGTGACTTGAGTTTATCATGCTCCAGTGTGCCCTAAATCCACTGACAGTAACCTTGGCAAGTCTAACCAAGCCTAGAGGTTTCCTTTTCCATCTGCAGAGCACCACATCCCTACTCACTGTGCCCCCTGAGGGCTCCCACAGCATGGCCAGTGGCTCATCACAGTGTTCTGCTTCTCACCTGTTGAGGGGGACACCGAAGTCGCCATCTCCCTTTCCTCCCAGCCACTCTCTTTTGCTTTCCGATGAATCCACCAGTTTCATGAGGGCAGTGTTGGCTTCTTCTTCTTCCTTCTTTCCAGCTGCCAAATCCAACTCAGTGTCTAACCTAGATGAAGATCATATATTTAAAAGTACCAGACATAACCTAGAGTATAAGAACTATGGGAACACATATATAGCCTGCTGTATTTAACAGTTTTCTGCTTCTAACATACCAATTTTCTATTTATAATCCTTGTCTGTGATGTTTAAAGAAATTTCTCCTTGCTGTTACTTACAAATGACAGTGCATTCAGTGGCCTGATGCCTCGAGAGTTGCCACAGTTCTGAGTCCTTCATGTGAATGCTGTGCTCTCTTCCCGTAGCGTGTGTCCAAGTGAACATATCCATTAACTGGCTAGTTACCTTTGAACTGCAATATAGACTGTGAAAATGAAGATTTATTTCTTTTAATTTACTTAAAAAGAAACCTCTGTGCTAGCAATAAAGCATTTATATTGTGTACTCCTTGGGATTACTTGGCTGTGTTTATATGTCTTTGTCATTCTTAGTACATTAGGGCCCTTCTCTCAGCTCTTGGGCTTTGCTCTGCAGTCCCTGATTTTCTGACACTACTTAAAAATCCATGTGGAAAACAGCTAAAACATATATGGAATACATGAAATGACAATTTTCTTTCAAAATATTCTCTGTGAGAGCTAAATGTAAAAGAGATTTTAGTGTCTGGTTCCTACAACATGGAGCACATGACAGGCACGCCTGGTCAGGTGGCATTTAGCAGTAGCTTTATTTTTATTTGCCAAAGAAAAATGAAGTCAAAAGCTCACAACATGATGCAGTGTTCTTGCAGCTGTGAAAACGAGGCTGTAAATGGTGACTATAAGGCCACAGAGAGCTTGTTTGCTCTTCCTGAATTCTCAGAGATGAGCTTTTGGGGATTGGTTTCTACCCTTTAGACCTGCATGTCCCCTCCAACCCTTGGAATCTTCACCCAAGTCCTGGTCAAGTGAGAAAGAAACAAAAACAAGATGGTATCTCACTGTGGTTTTGATTTGCCTTTCCCTGAAGGGGAAGAGAGCCGCACAGGGAATCGAGTTTGGGGAGAGACGTGTTGCTCTGCACTGGGGTTCATTGCTCAGATTGTTGACATCTAGTCCCTCAGGACTAAACTAGTCGTGGGAAAATGCAGTCCCTGGGATGCTGGGTTCAACCCTGATGATGGGCTGCCTTCAAATCTACCTCATTTTCATTGTATTGAGCGATCAGAAAGAAAATGAGAACAAAATAGCATAATCAATCAATTTAAACAATGGCGTCTCTGGAAAGGTACCATTGTAGAGTTTATAGATAGCACGATAAGGATAAGGTAGACATAATTTTCATGGTTCTTCAAAGCCTAGTGTTTCAAACCTCATGCCTTTATGATCCTGAAATCAAAACTGACAGCATAACATGTCATTCATGAGACTAATGCCGACAGTTCACTGGTCATTTGCGTCAGTACATCAGCACTACATAGTTCTGCTCCTTTTGTTACTGTTATCGCCTGAGATTTCCACTATACCTGTCCTCCAAAAACACCTCCAGTTCATTCATGTGGATGATCTTCTGCATGTTGTTTTAGGTAATAAAGGACAATATTATATATAGGGGCTAAAAAACAAATTATATCTCTCAGACTAGTAAGAAAAGATGGCAGTGAGGGAGGTGAGCTTTCAACTGGACTTGAGGGAGGAATGTGATTTTAATAGATTGGGGAACAAGAGGAAGGCATGCCTGGTAAAAGGAGCAACCTGCAGAGACATCCTTACATGAGAATGAGGGGATGAACTGGCAAGAGAGACACCACATGGGGATAACTGGTCAAGTGTAGGGCATCATGGCCAGCCAGCGCTCCATGGACCTGACATAGAAAACTGAGTCTCTGGGAGATTTTGCATAGCAGAGTCATGAAGCAGTGGTTAGAGGAGGCTGGCCTGGAGCAGAGCAGATGGAAGGAAAGTCAGACTGATCATGAGAGGAATTTGGGTCATATGGATAGAGAAGGAAATGGAGCGGTCACCAGAACCTCATAAGTGAGTATAAAAGGATGGAGAGGTAAGTTTCAACTCCAGTTGCAACTCCAGTTGAGTAAGGAAATGGCATTGCAACTGAAGTTGAAACAACAAAATGCTGGGGAGAGATCTTGACTTCAGGCTTTGGACATGTGAGATGGTGAGGCGATATCTAGACAAAAGTCTCCAGCAGGTAATTGGAGATAAGTACTGGAACTTCCCTCAGGTGACTGGACTGTGGCAGGAACGCATCATGAAGAATCAGTTCTGTGTACAAAGAATGAGAGGAAAAAATAATGAGTCAGAAAGCAGGAAGAGCATGGAGAAATAGGGGAAGTGCAGAGGAGATGCTCAAGGACAGGAGAGGCTGAGCGCCTCAGGATGGTTTGAGGCACTTGGAGAATTTTAAATTGCTTTCTGCATTTGTGACGTGAAGAAGCTCCACTCTCTGAGGGAGATGATGAACAGCTGCTGGTCACCTGCACTTTACATGCAGAGACAGGAGGCCTCATGGGGCAGCCCTTGCTCAGGGGCACCCACCACCATCGCAGGCCTCTCCACAGCCAAAGGCAGGCTTATTATCAGGAAGCCAGCATGGACAGAACACCTTGTCTACCTGCTCTACACTCTTGGTGGACTCAGAATCCCTCAGAAAGAGATGACAGCGCACAGTTGACATATGCCACGTTAACATGAGAAGAAACTAGCACTAGATAAGTAGGCCGAGGTCAGGACACTGGCCATGGAGTAGGTGTTAACGGATGAGGAGAATCGGAAAGAAGTAGAGAGGAGGGATAGCAAGCCTGGCAGAGAATCTCCAGGCAGACTGAATGCGCATGGGCTGCATTCTTGACTAGGGGTGGAGGGCAGGCACAACCAGAATAGAAGTGCTCCTTGCCAGTTAGATGTATTTATATAGTCTTATTTATTTTTCTAGTTTTGGTTGTCTGATGTCCCAGATATATTTAAAAGCAGTCACAAAAAGGTTTTAACTGTAACAGGAACAACAAATTCCCATGAATTAAAACAGTAAATGAAAGAAAACAAAGGTAGGGAATGAATGAAGCCAGACTGATTCTAGAAAACACATTCCCCAAAGTTCTGTCACCCTTAGGGGTCCTTGCTACCTGGTGAGGGTCCTTGCTACCTGGTGAGGAGACCTGACACTGCAGAGCAGCGATCCTAAGAAACCTTTGTGCTGTTCCCTTCACCCACAGGTGCTGGCTTAGGCTCATGGCCACCATCCTGGTACAGCTCATCACCTCGTGTTAACTCAGCCAACATTCACTACCTTTCTTTGCTTTCTCACTGTAACTCCTCACCTGGAACTTAAATGAGCTTATGAAAGGATAACACAGAACCTTTCAGGTCACTTCTACCTCACGAAGTTGTGTGAGGTAAATAGTGTCAGGGGTGATGATATTCTTTCATTGGTCTGAGACATCAGGCTACACACATGCAGCAAACAACTATAAAAAATCAAAACAGAATGACACCTGGCTGCTTTGCTATCAGTTCCTGAAACAAAAGAACTCATTCATTTCTCACCCAGTCTTGAAGCTACCTTGTAGGTCCTGACTTCAAGAGAGATTTCCTGTGGGTTTCCAGGGAGGCCTTGGCTGGAGGCCGACCTCATCTGCATTCCTCCAGCCAGCTCAGGGCAGGAGGGATGAATGCGGCCCTGACTGTTTGCCGAGTCTGGGTCCTGGATACTCAACACACTGATCAGTCGCGCTGTAGGGTGATTACAAGGCCCGTAGGCTCTGCCGAGGCTGCTGGTGCCACCCCGAATCTCTTACACAACAACTGCTCGATGGGAACCGGCTGGGCTGAGGCCTGGGAGAGTCTGCTCTCGAGCGGCTCCCGAGCGGCATGAAGCCCTCTTCCTAAACATGTACATTGTCTAATTCTCACTTGGTTATTGGCCAGATTAAAAGGAAGATCAGCTTGCCATTTAGCCTTTGATGTGAAACTGCTTGGATAATGTTTCCTTTGGCCATTTATCTATGTAGCAAGGAGGAACCTGAAACCAGCCTGGCCTGGGCCCCAGTCCTGCTGGAGCATGAGTGCCTCTTAATGGTTTCAAGGTCTTTTGACCTTGTTTTTTTTTTTTTTTTTTTCTCAAGAGCAAGTCCTATCCTTCTCTTTCTCATGAAATACAGGTTATTTATCCAGTGGAATTGCGTTGCCGATTTATTTTACAACACAGTTTCCTTGATCTTTCTTTCCAGAGTCACTACTGATTTCATATTTTGTACTCTGAACAGGATAAAAGTTACAGCACCCAAGCACGCCTGAGCTGCAAAAATAACGACCTCTCCGATTCCTACCCTCAATGAAGTCCAAAGCAGGGGTTCCAGGACCCCAGGAAGAAAGCTTAGTCTTTCTGATTCTGACAGATAATCCAGTTTATGGTAGGTAGATCCTTCCCTCATGGTGGTAACCTAGAATGATAAGTCTCACATTTCTCTTGGGGGTAGCTGAGTGGCAAATAAGAACCCACAGTTCTCTGTAGCTGGCCAGAACTCAGCAACCCCAAGGGCAGGTTCTGTTTGTTAAACAGCTGAGATCTCAGTCTCCATTTCCCAAGTTAGGTTCATTCATAAACAACACAGGATTCATGTAAAATTGAATAAATTCCAGATGCCACTTGTTAATACAATTAGCTCATGCTCCCTGGTGGCCCTGAGGGAGGTGTAATGCCCACAAACATGCTCAGAGCCTGCAGCCATGTCCACTCCTAGCTCCTAATTGTGTGCGCTACAAGAAATGCCAGCCCTGCCACGGGGAGCAGGAGACAGGGCCTGTGGGCACGGGCTGGGGACCAGGTGCGTGGGGGACATGGGTGAAAGAGCATCAGACCTGGCACGTTCTAATACCAGAAAGGGAAGTCGAGTAGCATTAAAAAAAAAAATTGTAATAAAGAAAAAAAGGGAACAATGAACAACTACATACCAGAGACATTTTACCAGGGTGTAGAGGGGAATGGGATCAAAATTGGGGTGGGAAAGGTACATGGGACTATGGTGACGGCACACTGGTGAATTGGCGGTGGGAAGTCCACGGGGATTACATCTGAGGTGAAAAACATACAAAATGAAGAATGATGTAAAAAATGAATAAATATAGGCTCTCCCTGGTGGTACAATGGGTTAGGACGCAGCACTGCAAGCTGGCCCCAGCACTTCAATGCTAGTTCTAGCCACATGGTGCCGCAGACCTCTCCTGTCTCACCTGCTGCTCCCCTCAGCAGTGTACTTCATCAGTTGGCCTGTTCTGCTCCTCACTATGTCTCTGGTGAATCCTCTCACTGCCCCTGCACCTCTGGCCTGTACCCCAGTACTGTATGCAGAAATAAACGAGTCTTTAAAAATAAGTATAGGTGGCAAGAGCATAAAATGATGAAGCAGTAAACACTAACTCAGAAGAATTCAGCCACCTTGTATTGAA